AAAAATTTAACATTGATATTCAAAGACATAAATGAATATTGTAAAGTTAAAAAGTGGAACCTGAGTTGAAGTGCAGAAGTCCATTAAAGGTGCATGTGGTTCACTGGGAGCAAGAGCTGGTTGTACAGTCTTACTGCTGCAGGAAGGAGCGACCGGCAACACCTCTCCGTCTGTCGCTGAAGGAGCTGCCCAGTGCTGTGATGGTGTCCTGCAGAGGGTGGGACTGGTTATCAATCCTCCTCTGTCTCACCACCTCCACTGGGTCAAGCAGGTATCCCAGGACCGGGTTGGCCCTCCTAACCAGTCTATCCAGTCTCTTCCTGTCGGCGGTTAAAATGATGCTGCCTCGGCCGAGTCCAAAGAAGATGGCCGATCCCAACAGTGTCATAAAAGGTCTTCGGGAGCGCCCCTGTACTGGGGAGTGTAGTCTTAGGCACTGGTACCATTCAGGAGCTCTTCCAGGAATGTGGATTTCTCCCCAGTCATGCTCATATCGAAGATGTGCTCCATAATCCTGCACAGCTGGTCAGCGCAGGAGTTGAGGAGCGTGGAGCGGATGCCATCAGGCCCAAACCCTCCTCGTGTGTCTCTGCCTCAGTTCTTACTTTCTTCGGATGCCTCATGTACTTTGTCTTGGTTCCTGTTTTATTTTGACATTCATCTCACTCCCTGCTCCACCTGTGTTTTGTAATAAGTCACTTTACTTCCTGTGTTACCGCCCCTTGTGATTGTCTGCACCTGTCCTCATGTGTTTCACCTGTGTTCAATCATCAGTTAAGTCTCTGATGTGTCTGAACTCACCCACTCATTCACAAACCTCTACTTTACTATACAGGGTCTTCTATGTAGAGGGCTTGTCTGAAAATAAACAACTTTTCCACACACTACTCTATGTAGTACATTTTCATTACATTATTGTCACAGGATTATGCCGTAGAACGACAACATCATCATCGGTCGGTGGAAAATCTGACAGTAAATTTAAAATGTTTATTTTACACTTTATACTTTTGGGTGGAAAACACGTTGACTGTCGATGTTTAAATGTAGAAATAAACTTGTTTGTCTTGTGTCTCGTTTTCACATTTGATCGACGGGTCGGGCTGTTCCTGCTGCTGCCCTCTCTCCTCTCATCTCTCTGACATGAGCGCAATGCATGATGGTAGATATTGCTCGGTTAGTGACCATCAGTTGAACGCTACTTTTCACAATGCATTGTGGGAAACAATTATTGCACCAGCATCTGTGTCCACTGAGGGATACAGCGCCAGGTCACAGGAAGTGACATCACCAAAAGGTCAAAAGTCACAAGAATACATTGAACAAAATAAAAGCTCCCCAAACCAAAAAAATACTTTTGGTGAAATATTAAGCTATTAATCTCACATATCTGTGCGACACACGTATGAGGAAGTAAAGATTAGATATTTTTTATTCTAAGGAAACTTTCTGATTCTGACCGTTAGAGCTGCTTAGTCCAGAGGAATCCAGTTCTCCTTAAACCCTATCCTCAACTATTGGGTCGATGCTGCCCCCTAGAGATCTGTAGTCACCCTTCAACTTCGACTTCTTCATGAAATATGTTTTTCACACTTATCCAAGAAGGGAAACACAAAGATTAACTTCACACTCCCATCACATAAACTTTATCCTCTTCGTCTGATGATAGCAGGAGGGCCACGGTGGCGTCTGTGGTGAGAAGCAGGGACTGACGTTAGCCAGCGGTACGCACAGAATAATGAATGAGTAATGAATAATACAAGAATAATGAAGAATAATGACTTCGGAGGGGGACACATGTACACACACTCATATGCACACATGGGGACAGACATGGATGATTATACAGCATCATCATTTATCTTTTTGTCTCAGAGACCGAGAGAGAGGTTCCTCTGTCCCCATTGGAGAACACAACTCCATTAAGAAGGAGTCACAGACGGCTGCAGGGCATGTGGAGAATCTCACTCTTACCATTTCTCTCATCTGCAGCAAAAACACTTCTGGCAAATCGGGGTGTAGATGACATTAGTAAAAAGTTGCTGCACTGAAAGGTCAGACCACATTAGCACGAGGTCCCCCTCCAAATGATAAATATCACAATTACTCAAAATCATCAACGCACACATCCAATGCTTCTCTGAGATCATTACTTCTCAGATTCTGAAGATTTGGTTTTTTTCTGTTTCTTGTTCAACCAATCCTGTTTGAGCAGCTTTTGTTGCATGCAGGTAACCAGTCTGTGTGGAGAGCAAAAGAGGAGGAACACATTGACCGAAATGCATTGGCCATCTGGTTTTTAATTTATCTGCATTCATAAGCACATAGCTAATAATGGAGATTAGTCAAAGTGATGTCAGCAAATGAACTGGCTACACCAGGAGCCACAAAATATTGGCAGTTGCGAATTTGTCATCAGACAATAGCCGAAGCGTTTTAGCTTTAGCTCCCAGCTGTGTGACCTATATGAATATTTTCTTCTGCGCATTGTATATAATATACAACCCCAATAATAATGTGGATTTTTGTTGTTCATAAAGGAAGACAAAAAATAACAGGAATTGTTGTTTGTAACTAACAAACCTACTTTATTTGATTGATTATTGCAAAGTGGGCTTTAGCCATAGACTGTGTTTCAAGATGGACGACATGACTGCTCCCCTGAAGTGAAGCCAAAGTATCTTGATGTCCTTGATTAAATCCTGCCTCCTCCAAGTTTGTGGATGGGACATGGACCAAAAGTTTAAAAAAAAAAAAAAAATTCTCAAAGGTAGTCTCAGTAATTTTAGGCTGTTCTTATCATACTGTTTATTTTTCCAGTATGTTTTGTTTTTAATATTATTATAAGGTTAATTGTCATGATTGACAACAGAGACACAGCTTCATACCCTGATTGCCACTGTGTAGATGCCTGGTATCTTTTGGCTTCATTTCTGGACCGTGGGAGAAAGTGGAGAATTCCATCTGTGGTTTTAATACACAGGGAAAGTAAGATTTATTCGGATATTTGTGGATCCTAGTTGTATGCACGCTTTAAAATAGAGTAAAACTCACAGGGTTAAGTGACTAATGTACGGCTCATGGTGAGTTGATGCTTTGATGCAGGATGTATCACAGACTATAACAGACAGACGGGTTATAGAGCTGCTCCCGACACACAGCTGGGAGTTTAATGAAAGGAGTCGTGTCTGGAGGATTCTAGTAACTTTTAGTTTGTTTTCCATCCTGTTACTTTATACTTCACCATTTCTCATTTTTCTCTGACTCATTATCAATAAATACATATATATAATCACAGTAGCACACAGTTACAGTAGTTTTTTAATGCAGATATAATGATATTGTTGTGTCCACCTTGCATGCTGTTGTTTTTCTTTTTTTATTTGCACATAAACCCTGACATATTGACTTTTCATTTCTATACTTTTACCCAAAACATATGAAATCCACTTCCTCCTTCTGACCTGCTCTGGCAGCCAGTGAACAATTTGCCTGAAGCCAGAGGTTCAGTGTCAAACTGTCCAAAAGCAACAATCTGCGCTGTCATCACAGCCTGAGCCTGAAGGTGACCACTGTCGGAGATATGAAACGCTTCAAACTCTTTAAGTTTGGTGGAGTCTGGTTGCCTGTTTTTCCTGTAGGTCCTAAACTGATTAATGGATTTAAAATTTTATAAATTGAAGACTCTCATGGTTGAGATTATGTGCATTTGTGATTATCTTTGTGCAAACGTGTGCATTTGTTTTCATGTAACTCTAATTATTCTCGATTAATTATAATTATTCTTGAGCTGGTGCTGTGTATTTTTTATTGATTGTTTCCTATTCATACCTCGTTTGTTGTTTTAATATCACGCCAAGATTTCAGACACATAGGATGCTGCCGCTTGCTTTTTTAAATAAAATGGTGGAATGTTATTCTATCAATTTTATGCTGCTGTTTTGTTTCATATTTGGAAACAGGAACTTGAAACTTCCCTTTCTGTCTATTTCCCGCCCCAACACTTCCTTCATTCTCACCTGTTCTGTGATTTTCACTCCACATTTATTCTTGTTCTTGTTAGTGATTGTCATCTTCTCTACACAAAATGCTGCTTGGTACTTTTCTGCTGTTATTTTCCTCTGCGAGCACAGGTAAGGAGACACTGTGTATCTGTCTAATCCAGAATATTGGTTTTAAATTCACTGTTTCATTTTATCTGTGCGTCTTGTTGTCATTGCAGTTAAATCCTATTTCACAAACTGGCCTCCATATAGCACCTTGGACACTTCTACAGAGACAGGTAAACACATCAGTGCTTGTTTAGTTGTCTGTCTGATAGTTAGCAGGATTACACAAAAACCACTGGACAGATTTCCACACAACTTGTTGGAAGGATGCAGTATGTGTCAGGAAAGAAGCCGTTACATTTTGGGTTGGGATCCGGATCAGGGGGCTGATCCAGGAATTGTTTTTCACTTTCTTTAACATTGAGAGACATTAACACATGAATGTCTGTACAAACACTTTCCACCAATCCATTGTTTCTCGACTGCTTTATTCCTCCTCCACTACCTTCCATTCTGTATCTTTTACCTCCTCCTTTCTAGACAATTTACCTCATTTGCAGCTGGTGGCCACACCGGACTACCCAGGTGTAGCAGGACAAACAGTCGAACTGTACTGCAATACTACCATAGCGCCCCACTTCCGCTTTTCCTGGCAGCGGCTAGAAAGTCAGACCTGGCGAGAGGTGGCTCAGGGTTTGCGCCTGACACTCAACGAACCAAAGCAAAGCGGGCTGTACCGCTGCAGAGCTGAGAACCAGTATTACCAAAAAGAGAGCAATGTTATCACAGTCTACATCATCGCCACGCAGCCAACAGGTTGGTGGGCCACTTTGATTTGTTGCATATCTGAAAGAAAACTTTGTGAAGATGTTGGCGGTTCACTCTTGCATGTTGTTTGTTTTCAGTGCTAATGACTGGTGGTTTAATGTCAGGACATTAATGACAAATTGTGACCTTTCTTGTGAGATGTTAAGAATGCATTATCAACTATTACTTAATTGCTCTAAACAGTGATTGGTATAATTTTATTGTAATTTATTATATATTACAGAAAGGAAACCAATAGAAAATGTGTATATGATATTTTATATCTAAGCATAATGTTGTCTTGGCATGTGTATTGCTTATTGCACAGGGAAGTGCAGGGCCGACACACAATATGATTAATATTAATAAAAACTGAATAAACAAGTGACCAGTGTTTTGTAGCAGGTGTGTGAATGGTCTGCGGACTGAGTTAAACCTGCCATTCTCTGCTGTTTCCCCAACTTGAAAAAGTGGCTGAGAAATTAGGAATCATAGGCTTCGTCCTTTCTCTCCTGGCCTTGATCGCCACTCTGACTATTCTGTGTTGGCTGTCCTGGCAAAGATTTGGTGGCACACTTACTCCCTTGAACACTGCAGCTAAAGGTAAAGAACACCACAGTGCAGTTTTACTGTTTGAGCAAATATCTTCAATGATTCATTTTAAATTCTTGGTTTTCTTCAAGGTTTTCCTGGACCTGAAAAAGCACCAAAGTCAGTGATGATGTACACACTTACATTTATGTTGTTTGTATTTGGTGATGTGCTGTAAGCCACTATTAACAGAGTGCTTTTCTTTGCTTTTATCACACCAGGGGATGTTTCCCACAGACTGAAGGTGACGGAGGTGTGTACATGAATTACACAAACACCAACCCAGCCTACAGTAATCTGGACCCCGCAAGTATGACAGGGGACAACGCGTATTCAAGTTTGTCATGAAAACTCATGGGATGGTGCAATAAAAAGAGGAAGAATGACACAAAGGGTATTTTTATGAGTCAATATCAGCATGTAGCGTTCATCTTTCTGCTTTTTCTTAACTACATGCTAATAAAACATACAGATATGTAAAGCTTTCTTTGTCACAGTCGATCATTTGATGTTTTTCTTTTACCACGAAACAACAACGCAAAATGTCACAATATTTGATGCCCGAGGGAAAACACAAATCAAGCCTTATAACTTCTGTTCCCTGGTTTCACAATACCAGATACCAGACGTGGCGGTCACGCTCATCATCACGAGCTTGGTTGGATGAAAAGACGTCACACAAGATGAGATGCGTAAACACACATGCTTAATTGATCGTTTATGGTACAGAAGGCAAATTTATCTTACAAATATGATAATTATCGTACATCTGGTAACACTGGGCATGACCCATGGAAGAACCCAAAAATAGTTTTTCTCAAAAACATTGTGAGATTTCTTTGATTTCTTTTTTTTATTTTACTGATAAAATATCGGGTTAATTGGGCCTGTACTACTTTGTGTGTGTGTATAATCTAGTGAGACGCCAGTGTGAGATGTGTCTGGTGTCTCTTCAGTTAATTTAACAAACTGCTAAAGTGCTCTCCTCTTAGAGTCGTACATTAGTCAGGTTTTATCACTTCTGCTTGAAAAACTTCTGCTTTTTAGTTTCCACTGACGACAGGAAGAGCAGGTGGACTGATGCAATTCAAACCGTCGGCTCTCACAGCAAATGCAGAAATTCACAAAATACTGCGTGTTGCGTAATGTTTGATGAGTCGCAACAAAAGACCACAACACACCAGGGACACTTTAACATACCAAGCACGAACCCTCCTATCAGCCTTGCGCTCCGTGTAATAAATACTGTTTTTTTACACAACTATTAAAAATGTCTGCATCAATCCTTGTGAGGTTGTTGGATCTCACTCTGAAGTTGGTGGCTTTGATTCTTGCTGTCCATAGAGATCTGAGAGGAGGCCGAGCACCCTTCTCCCTTTCCGATCATTTTTATGTGAGCCAAGATGAACCTTCTAAATTTCCTCGTGGCGAAAAAATAAACGACAGGATCCAGGATACAGTTGAGGCCCATGAGAGCCAAGGTGATCTGATGAGCGTCGTTGAGCACCTGGCGAGTGCCCTGGTCCCAGTTCACTTGGCCCCAGCCCTGTTCGATCTGCAACACCGCCAGTGTCCAGGGGCCTTGGATGATATGGTGGGGCACGAAACACAGAGCGAACACTCCCACCACTGCCAGCAACATCTGGAGAGCCCTGCGTTTCACCCCCCTGGGCCTTTTGGAATTTCTGGACATAGTTGTTGCAGATCTGATTTCAGACTGGGGAGAATTTTGAGACAGCAATGCTTGAGCGATAAGGCAATTGCACACCATAATAAGAAAAAAGACAAGAAAGAACATTCCAATTATAGCAAAATGTGTGGCAGCTATTAGTGTCTTCTTTTCATCAGTTACATTTTGATATCCCTCAAAGCAGCGAGTGACGTTCTCGTCAGTGCTGATTCCTGGTGAAGTAATCACCATCGGTATGGTCAACGCCCAGATGATGATGCACACGATGATGCCACGAGTCCTGTGGTCTGAGGAGGCCGCGTCCAGAGGTCGGGTGACTGCCCAGTACCTGTTGACACTGATGGCTCCAAGAAAGAGGATGGAGCAGTAGGTGTTGACGAAGAAGAACCACCCCGTCAGCCGGCACATGAAGTCTCCATACACCCATTCACCATGGCGACTGTAGTAGCCAATCCAGAAGGGAAGGGCGGACACGAACAGGAGGTCAGCAATGGTCAAGTTGGTCATGTAGATGCGGATTTCACCCATCGACCTGGCTTCACGGAGGTGCTGCACAACAAACAGCACATAGATGTTGGCGAAAAGGCCGAGGATGAAGATAATGCCATAGGCGACCGGGAAAAGGACGTAACGAAACTCAGAGTCCAGGAAGGTTGAGGCATTACTGGTTGTAGCACCCTGACCAAACATTCTTGTCACAGCAGTTCCTTCTGTGGTTGACGCCACCATATCTGTCTGTGAGAGACAGAGCATATGAAGTTCAGTGTAACTTAGCCAAAGGGTCACATTGATATTTAGATCAGGATGTAGAGTATTTGTTCACAATGAATTTTCAATATACACACAAAAACATGCAAGAAAAGAAAAAGGAATTAAAGTCCACCATCTAATACAAATGTGTCAAAGCAAATTAGAGGAAACACATCAAAATGAGATCATAAAGAAATCCTACCACCAGTTTCAAGAGTGGGCCCAAATTTTTATTTGAAATTTCTTCTGACACTTTTTTCCCTCAATTTAGATCCACAGCATCACTTCCAGGAAGTAAACGCACCACAAGGTCACAGACAAATAATACGAAAGATCCTGTGAGCAATGTATGATTCACCACCAGCATAAAGATTTAGAGCTGAGGTGCAGAGCCCAGAGGCGCATTCTGAAAGAGATGTGGTTATTTAGTCAGAAAGAGGATGTTTTCGCAATAAGTGTCGAGGTAAAACTGATGCCAGTATTTCAACAGAAAGCTCAATTTGACTGGTAGGACAAACAAACTGTGAATGAACTGCCTGAATAATTCTTCAAAATGTACAGTTCAATTTGTTTTAGAGCTCAGTTGCATGTACACTTCTGTTTCCAAACCACACACTCAGACAAGAGAAGAAATGTTATTCCACTGTGGTTTTGTCTTAAATGGTCTATTTCAACATTTGGAATGATTTTGGAAAAATGGAAGTGAATATTTCACCATGATATCAGACAAACGTCTGAGTCTAACATAAATGACCATATTGTCTGAATATTTTTCTGTAGGTACACGCCTGGTGTGATGAGGAAATCCAAAACAGAAGGATTTTTCTTTTTCTTTATCCTAAATCTTCTTCCTGCAGATATTTTGGTGCCACTGTGTCTAAACAGAGTGATTTACTTAGACTTCTGCAGAAAAACATAATTTCCTGAATTATTTATATCAACATAATCATTACTACTTTTACTTTATTGTGGAAAACAGTGAGACTTATATGCAAGAGTGTTTGCGTCACTGACTACGAATGTATTTCTCTTTCTAAAGAACTCTTAATGGATTACCCTCTGCGTCCCTTTTTTAAGTTAATCTCATGGATCTTGACAAATATTCCACAGAGAGCATCCATGAAAAAAACAAACTGACAATGAATAACAAAGCAAAACCAGCCCCACCAGCTACCAACCAACAAACTCTGAAATGAATCCATACAGTTTGATTAATTTGGTGATTATGACCATCCTTCTTTTGGCACAAATGATATATAAATATACACATGTCTCCCTTTTAGCACACGTTGTACCTATTCTTAGTTATCTCATCTAGGTTGAGACATCAGAGGTGGTTTGGGTAAGATTAGGAAATCAGTGATTCTTTTTTCTCTGTATTAAACCAGATCACAGCTCTCTCTCTCTTTCTGATCTTAACTAAGTGCACATTGAATGGATATTGATATATTTTCTAAATTCTTACATTACAAGACACCGTAGACTGTAACATACCACATGATAAAACTCAAAATAGTGACACTTCACCTTTGTTACTGTTTTGGTGCCATTTTCTAATGAGACACCCCTTTATAAGATATTATAAACTATGACTTTACTGATATTGAATCAATGATTTACTAGTAGTGATAATGGTGTTGATAAGAATATTCTTTGATGAGAAATTAAAATTATAATGACATCAAATCATCTTATATTTACATTTGTACAACAGGATAAAAGAAAATTAATATGCTATGGTAGTGAAGGAAAAAAGATAGAGAGCATCAAATGTAGCTAGAAGGAAAATGTCTATGTCCTTTTTTTAACTACACTTTTCACAGACACATAAAGAAAGAGAATAAAAGAGTAAAAAGCAGTGGATTTACCAGACAGTTTCTTTTCCTCCTCTAATAGCTCTCAACACTGTGAACGCCTCAAGATCTCTGAGGAGTGAGTGCAGTGGTTGTGTCTTGACTGGGTGTGTCTCACTATCAGTGGGTGTGTTGGCCTGAATCTGAAGGAGGAGTGGACATCTGTCAGTCTTCACGGGGAAATCCTAGGTGTTGTAACATAGTAATCGTTCCTGTCCGTCAAAATGAAAGAGAAATGTCCACCTTGGAGCAATCTGGGAGTTTTCTGTATGTTCTCCCATATATACAGTTCTTCTCATACATGCACACATAGGCCTTTGTGTTTTTGTATGTGATCAAATATTAAGCACGTATACATTCCAATATATTTAACTTATATTATTATTTCCCATCCTCCAGATTCCACCTTCTTTAAACATGTCCTCTATATTTCTTATTTTGTGTGTAATTTGTAATTTTCACACAAAACAGAGGTTACTGAAGCAATAAGATAATAAAAGATGCGATAAGATGACACAACATAAGACAATAGAAGAAAGAACTTTAGTTATCCTCAAAGATACAATTTATCTTCATTTAAACTTTATTTATATAGAACTGTTCTTGGCAAAGTTAACAGACAGAAAAGGGGAAATTACAAGAACAGCTACTACAAAAAGAGAAAGATCAGTTTCCAAAACAAATAAAAAGAAGGCTGTTGTGATCTTGATGGTACAACTGCTCAACAGTTTAAGGTTTCTAACAGCAAAGATCAAGTCAACCTAGGTAGTTGATATATTTTAGGAAAAGCCTTCAGAGCTGCGTTCAGATGGAGTCCAGGGACATAGGGGGTCAATAAGTTCTTGATGTGGTTTGGCGCCAGACTTAAAAAAAAAAAGAAGAAGCACTCATGATGAAGAAATGATTTAAAGTCTGTTTTCAAATCATCTGTTTCATGTTGTTTTTTATGTATCTACCCACTAAAGATCTCTTGTAGGGATGGGGCCAATAAAACCACACTTTCATCAACATTATCCTGATTGCATGTTATAATGACAAGAGGTTAGACTGCCTCTTACTCTGGCCTGTGATTCTGGCTCATCAGCAGTTGAGCCAAATGTGTACTAATGCATTTTTACCACGTGGGGGAGGAAGAGGCCTGTAAAAAGAGGGAAGGCCTCTGCTGTCCCTCACACAGTGCACAGTGGTGGAGGGACAGTAGTCAACACACAGCACAACTCCACAAACCTCTCCTCTGAGTGTGTAGTTTAAACAGCCCCTTCCCCCCTGCAACGTAAAAATTAGATTCCAGCTCCTATGTAGAAGCACAACGCAACACGTCCTCCTCTCCCTGGTGCCACAGTATAATTCCTAGATTAAGGTTAACCAGCCTCCCCGACCTTATGGCTGTCATTATGGTTTGGCAGCGGAACAAGACAAGAGCTCTCTGGTGGTTGTGCCCTGCATGACTGCCAGACATGCTGTGCCATTGCTTGGTATACAGGGCTACAGTGTTTGAAAAAAAAAAAACGTTTCACATATACATCTTATTGCTCGTGGTTTGGGTGTGGATTCAAAAGATTCCACAGCAAGACGCTGAGATTTGTTTTGGTCATGAAATGGAGAGCAGCGTATGAGGGATGTGGTTTGGTTCAAAGCTCGGTATGAGATATTAAACGTATCGTAGACTGTACACTGTACGACATCAATTGAACTGAGACAGCTCATCTTTTATTGTCACCCTACATGAGCTCAAATAAATATTTCAAGTTACTTTGACTCAAAAATGGTAGTTTGCAATTTTTTCCAAGAGAATCTTTCATGTAATTATCGGAAAAGTTGGACATTTTTTGAAAATATTAGCTTTTTTTTGCTATCGGTATCAACACCAATTCCACGTGGATGGTAAATATTAGTTGAAAGCTAACAGTCAGTTTTGATAAAGTTGCACAAACACTAGAATCGATGTGAACCTGCCTGTCTCTATGAAACAGACTGTAACAAAATCTTTCAGTCTGGTTGTTTACTCTAGTTTTCTATCCTTGTGCTAATCTAAGTTAAGCTAAGCTAAACAGCTTCTGGCCGTGGCTTTGTTTATATAATGTAGAAAGTAGTATCAGGCTTTAAGCTAAGTCACAGCTGTCTCCGAGTGAAAACAAGGGTTAACCACGGTGAAGATAAATGTCTGTTTCAGTCCAAAAGCCCCTTTGAAATGAACTGATTAATTAATGATGCAATGTGTCCAAGTAATGAGACAGCCTATTGCAAAGGAATTCATATTTGACAAAGGAATAAATAGCTCTTCACTTGTTATCTTTTGCGACTTGGTTACAGGGGAGAACCGTTTTAGCATTCGGTGGATATTGGAATAACATTATCATCATCATCATCATTGTCAACAGTGACATTGTTTCTGGATATCTGTCATATTTAAATACTATATCCATTTACTTTTACCTTAGTTTTGGTCCCCACCGACTCCTTAAGGAAATATCTGACTCTTTCCCCCAGTTGCAAACTTTTCCTTATGTTTTAGTTGACTTCTTCACATGCCATGATGGCTGTAGTTTCATGCTTCACAAATATTTCTGTGGGCTTTACTCTTGCACCTGGCTCCTGTCTGCATGCCACTCGATTCCTTCTCTTACACACGGTTTTCTGTTTCTAAATGGCCCTGAAAGTTTTTGAAAAGATTGATTCAGGTCATCCCTGATGTTCTACACTGCTGCTGCCTCATGGGGCGGACCGAGGTACTTTTCCTCTCAAAGAATGGTTGTAGTTTCAGTCCAGGTGTGCAGAGACACTGAGAGGGAAAGCTGCCAGGACCTCAACAGCTTTTTTTATGGGATAGCTAAGCTACAGTCAGAAGTCAGAGTCATGCATTCCTCAGGGAGGCAGGAAGGGAGGGAGCTGCCTGTGTGGACCTTTTCTTGTCCCATTAACACCTTTTCACAGTCGCTCCTTCACTTGATATTGATGCATGGCTCGTTGCCTCTGGCCCTTCGACATTGAAAAGCCCCAGTGAGATGCAGACGGGTAGGTGTTCAAGGCCGCTTCAGTGGAAAGGCAAGGACACCGCGGTTGAGAATTGATAAATGAGTGTAGTGTTTGACTGCACGTCTTGCCTGGCAGTGGGTTCGTGGCAGAACCAGGGTGTGCAGGTCTCTCAGGCAAATTCACTGCATGCCAGAGGCTGAGGTTTGAGGAATGTCCCCCTGCAGTGAGTCGAGAGAGAGAGAGAGAGAGAGAGAGAGAGAGAGAGAGAGAGAGAGCCACGTGAGGCTGAGTGAGATAGGCTGAGGGATCTGTACTTCAAGATAATATAAGACCTAACAGACAGACAGGGACTTTATTCCAACCTTATCAAAGGATTTGAAGCTCTCTCCCTCTCGTGGGACATTCTGTCTATTAGGGACATAAAAACTTCAAACATCAAGCTCTTGGCAAGAAAGGGTGTCAAGATGTTATGCAACTAAAATTAATTGGACATGATTGTACAAGTGAGGTTGTTTGTAAAAAGCAGCTCTACATTTAGCGTTCATGTGACATGGAAGGTTACACAATGATGCACAATGTTGTCATGGCGCTTGATAACATCGGATAAGTGCACGTTTCCCTACATGACTAGCTGCCCCACATTTTAATCCATCAGGGTTACATCTGTTTAAATACTGGTCAAAACTCGCCCTGAGAGCACAGTGAATTAAGCACGTTAATCCTTATAATCGCTGTAAAAAGGACATAATGTAGGAAAGCTCCAGTATGAGCCATATTGTGGCATCAAATCCTCCTACTTTGGTCTCGTTTTAGTCCTATGTTCTCATTTTGGATGTTCAAAATAATATTGTCAGGTGACTATTGACCCGATCCTTGCACTCTGTCCTATCGGCTGCTTGTGATTTTGGTGATCTGCACAGGATTATTAGAGATTAGTCTGTTGTTTCAGCCTCCGCAACTCTCTCTGGATAAGATAAAATACCTACAATGTGAAACGCAAACAGCAGAAAAAAATCACGAGGGCTTAAAAAGACTTTTTATCTGTTAGAAAAATTGATCATGATGTGCTGTTTATTCTTATTTGGGACAAACAAGCTGACGTTTCTGGCTGGTGAAGGATGTTTGTGATTAGGAAGGATGCTGGCCAGAACATGGCTCTTCCTGAATCAGCTTGTCCAGTGTGTCCCACAGTATATCTACTGTAGGAGATTACTTTCACTCAGACCTTGTCCTTATGCATGCATTAGATCGCGTGCGCATTTGCATTTAAATCGTTTGACGTATTAAGGCAAATTCTCCAAATGACAGGAACCTGTCTGAGCATGAGCCAAACCTCTCGGGACAGATGAAACATACCAATGAACATAAAAAAGAGGCTCTTTCCACGCTCGTCTTTACTTTTATTTCATCTCACTGCTCCCAGAGCCCTGACGGATGTTTTGGGCTTTTCTTCTTCAGAGATCAACCCAGTATCTCTGGAAAATAGGAGAAAACCCAATATTTTATAGCAACATGGAAATATAGGGACACACAAGGCAAGGCCACTTTGTTTAATAGCACGTTTCATACACAGCGGTAGATTCAAGACGCTGTACAGGGACAGTAAAAACAATTCAAGCAAAATAACAGATTAAAAAGTGTAGAATAAAAGAGGTAAAACAAGTTAAAGTGGTAGAATAAATAAAAAGCATGAATCTGTATGAACATGTAAAAACAAGTTGAAAGAGAAAAAATGCTCAAATAAAAAGATAGAACTGTGTAAAATAAGAATATAAAAATAGAATAAAATTCAATGATGGTATGACCTTGTGAATAGCTTAGTTAAAGGCACTTATAAATAAAGTTCTGAAAACTGCAATGGATGCTGTGCTGCATAGCGACTAAAAGCTGTTTCTCCATGTTTGGTCCTTGCTCTGCGTACTGCCAGCAGACCACTCCCCAGTGATCTCAGAGGTCTCACAGGGTTAAATTGGACTAGAGACATGTAGGCAGTCACACATTCACATTCACCTGTGCTGGGATTTCCTGTTGTGGCGCTCAGGTGTTTGCACAGGCTTGCCCACTAATGCAGCAGCTTCTAAAGGATTTAATTTTAACTTTGATAACTTTGGTGTTTTTGGCCTTTTCCCCCACCTGGAGAGATCATCCCGGTTACATCATTCATACCTCACCTTTCCCATTATGTCAAAAGATATGATTAGAATGGTATGGTTGTTGCACAAGTACTGTGGGCATGTTCAACAAGGCGGAAACAAAGGATTTGACTGTGGGAATCTTGACAAAGGACGGTTTTAATTGCACAATCGTCAAGGTCACAGATAGATGTGTGGGGTTTTGAAAGTCCTGTAACGTCTTCAGACAGACCCAGAGTCCTGTTGATGTTACATTTAAATGGAAACCAAGGCAGCACAGATTTTGTTTTTGATAATAGAGCAAAGTGCTCAAATGACAGCAGTGTTTATGACCTCCTCTGCCCCCAAATTAAGGAGTGTTTCACAAGAATGTGTCTAAGTAGTTCCCATGTATCTGTGTGTGTGTGTTTGACTTCACCTGGTTTCGCTGTCTGTGTCATTCACAACAATTAGAAGGTATTTTATCATCACACTGAAATCATTTCCACGGTTACATAGCTAAGACATAATGAACGCACGATGAAGAATTTACTGCCCCGCCATAATCACGCTGTAATAACAGAGTGCACTGTACACATGAGTTGTACTTATTATGCTGTATCACTGCAGTGCACTTGAAGTTAGCACACTGGCACCAGTTGAACCCAGGGAGTGTGTGTATGTGCAGCGACAGAGAGACGCTGCACTGAGGGACAACACAGACTCATCCATGTGTCTGTACTGAGCGCTGAACCATCTGAGCTGCTCTGGGTTTGGACTCAGGGGAAGAAAACTATTCAAACAACCGAACAACATTATCACAGAAAAGTACACTACGTAGTAGTAGTGGTGGTTGTGGTGTTACTGCTGCCACAACAACCAGCCTAAAATAAATCTCCGTAAATACAGTCAAGGTTCTTGGGATCTAAATCATGAAGGAAAACTATAGTTTACTTATAGTTTATTGAACAAACTTTACAGGATACAACTCTTTGTTCTCATTCATTTCTACACAGGTCACTGTCACACTTTACACAAAACCAGTTGTTTAGATGAGTACAAGCCACTTTCACAAAACCTGAGGGTTTCTTTAACAAAGATCGAACTCAGTTTATGTGTCATCGCAGATATATTTGTGACATCTGCACATTTATTGTCATAATCCAGAATGATCACAATCATAACATACAGATTTATAATAAGTCTACAAACTGGAAAGTTAATTTACTGCTCTGCTGTGACAATGACACTGTTGTTTATGATTGTGTGTGCGTGTGTGTGTGTGTGTGTGTGTGTGTGTGTGTGTGTGTGTGTGTGATATAGAGAGAGAGAGAGAGAGAGAGAGAGAGAGAGAGACATTAACTGTGAGTGGATCAGAATCTCTCGGACTCTCCACAGCCTCAGCCTGGTTTTCTTTCCTCCTCGCCGGCCACACTCGCCTGGGTGATGTGGGGGAGAGAGGCGGGACCTCGAAGCCGGGAAGGGCGTTCTCTTTGCGGTCAGACCGGGCAGAGTCATCCCGAGGGGTGGGTCCTCCGGCAGCCGAGAAGGAAAACCCACCTTTTTTCATTGTTACGGACGCGGTGGTGGAATGTGATGGTTTGATCTCCAGCAGCGGGCAAACGACCGAGGAAATATCCGCGGGGGAAAAGCACCGACGAAAGCCGCACTCGGGAGCCGGCGTTACCGCGAAGGCAGAGCCCGCCTCTGTCGCCTCCAAGTGTCCGGGGCGAGTCTGAGAATGTGCGGATGAACTTGTCCGCGCCGAGTCGGCAGCAGCGAGTCCGACCGTCCGCATGAGCTCGCACCGTGGGAAGTTGTGTGGATTTTACCGTAGCGGGTGTTTGTGTGTGACCCGGCGCCGGAGCCGCTAAGGTAAAGTTAGCCTCTTGTGTTGGTGTGTTTTCTCGGTGTTTGTGGGAACACGGGGGTCGTGTTTCAGGCTCCGTGCAGCGGCTTCCTGAGTCGGGACTGCAGGAGTCTGAACTGCGGCAAGTTTTTCAACCCTCCTCCTCTTCCTCCTCTTCCTCCTCCTCTGCTCGGTCTGTGGCCAAAGTGAAGCATCCAGGACTGCGGCGAAAACCTCAGGTGCTTTTCAAACGCGCCTCATTGGAGACATTCGTGTCTCATTTCTACGCATTTGTTAGTTACATGTTCGCGTTCACCTTGTGTCTGCGCACATTGTCACGTCCCCCCCCCAAACAGGGCTGTCCAAAACTGTTCATATCGTCGATATCGATAATTATCGCGATCAACATTACATAATTATTTCTTTTGAACTTTAAAGTCTGATTTTTCTCTTTGTGAAATTTGACACAATATTTTACGAATCTAAGGTCGATCGATTTTGTGTTATACCTCCTCAAAGCGCTCCAACCGTACATTAGCACTATACCGAACAATTGATTAAATATCGCGATTGATATTGTTTAGTCGCAGATCCCAACAAGACAGAGATTCATTTTTTAGATTAAAAAGCTCAGATCAATCTCTGGGGAGGTGGTAGATGTATGAAAACTTATTCTCAAGCCACTTTTAAAATACTTGTACATATATATGTCTGGGTTGGACAATATGGCAAAAAAGTTGATATTGATCAATACCGCTAGAAATGTCACTGTATTAATGCTTTCAAATTTTTACTCCAGAGTAAAGAATGTGTTTTAAACTCTTCTTTATGAGCGACAAACGCATCGGACATTTTTATGTTCTACCTCTTCACTGTACCTGCACAATGAATAAGCAATGTATCGCTATATATATATATGTTGGACCTTTTTTATCATTAAATGCTTCAATAATTATTGATATTGTTTCATTGCTCAGCCCTACTACAGAATAACAAGCTACAGTTCAAACACAATGTTGAAAACATACGAAAAATGTAAGTGCATATTTCCTGAACCAATGCTAGAGTTAGATGTTTTGGTCTGGATGTTATCTTCCTATGAGCTGGTTGGGCCTTGCCTGTACTTTGTCTTCCAAACTTTATGAAGTCATCAGGAGTTTTAGGGTATTTTCTTGTAAGGTTTCAGTTTCTGTTGTTGACACTCACTATCAGCCAGATAAGCTACTGCATTTCTAGACTTTGTACCAGACTACAGGGCCAGTGTTGTCCCTTAAGGACAAAAAGCAGGAACACTGGGTTTACCCATTCACATGAACTATTTTAATACATCTCCTACACTTTATGTGTTTAAAGAAAGGAAAAGCTGTATTGTATGTGGAAAATGTGTATAGTGCAGTTCATATAAGGGGGGATTCGCAAAAGGCAAAATATTTAGGGAGGAGATGTGGAAAAAGTCACAATTTAAGCACCGTGAAATCATAATTGAGCACCAACGTCACTCTATTTTATTTACTCGTGCACAAACCTATGGGGAATTTACAGAAATAACTGAATGAATGTCACAGTATATTGAGTTTACAGTACGAAGGCATATTGAACACAACTTGTACTTAAGTCTTTCATCTGTTGAATGAGTTCAAGCCATTTTGACAGCAGCCAGACGACACTGTGGACCCGTAATGACAAAATGAGTTGTGCACATGTTCCTGTGTGCACTGGACAAGTTTTTGGATGGTAGACAACTATAGTGCAATCGCAAAAGAGCTGAATCAGCCTTGGATGTAGTGCTGAAAGTTAGTTTGAAAACCTGCTCTGAAAATTTGTTGCCAATGGACAGAAAACGAAAGGAAAAGACTTAATTATTTTGTAGTTTATCAAGGAAAAATGGCAAATACTCAGTTTCCAGCTTTTCAAATGTAGAGATTTGGAGCTTTTGTCTGTGATATCAACATTTTGGGGTTGAGGACTGCTCCTCAGACAAAACAAGCAATGTGAAGATGAAATTTACAACCCTAGAAAGCTATGAAAAACGAAAATGTTACTCAGTAGAGCGAATACCTCTGCCAAGGTAACAGTCCCCTAAAATTCAATCATGCTACACCAAAGTACACATTCTCATAGACATCAGTCCTATAGATATGCCTGATTTTCTCAATCAAGATAAATGATTGGGAAATAGGTGAACATGCCAAACATGCCCATTCTCGCAAGGTAAAAGAAAGTGAAAAATAATTCTTAGATCCACTTATTTGTGCGAATCTGCACCAAAATGTAATTGGGTTTTTTCTTTTCTACATCCCATCCTTCCACCAGGTGTCATGGTAATCCGTTTCGTAGTTTTTGCGCAATCCTGCTGAAAAGAAACAATAAAAAACAAATGGACAGGGGCTAAAACATAATCTTTTTGAGATCGGAGATATTGACTAAAATATCAGTTCATCACAGCCCAAGCTGAATTATTTAATCTATAAGACATGCTTGTTCTGTTTGAGCATTTGTCTGTTTTCCTTCTCGTGTGATGGCATGTGTTGTGCGGCATAGACTACACACATACATGTATTAAAACAAGGTGGTAGAGCCCAAAGTCTGAACAGTGTGCGCACTGTGCTGCCTCATCAGAACAGTAACAGAGGACAGTGTGTGCACATGTGTCAACAGCAGAAAAGGTAGCTGTAGTGGTGGAATACTTATCTGCCAGGTGGGGCTCGTAAAGAGCAGCATGGGGAGGGAAGGAGATGGAGGGGGACCTGCCTTGACCTGTTTCAGACATGAAGGAGAGAAAAAAAAATGCTGATGACTTTCCAGTAAGGCTCACCCTCCGAGCCAGCTGTAGATTATACCAGCTGAGCTAACCAGCGTGTGCTGCTGTGAATCCACTTTGCTCCTGGAACTCGCATGGCAGCTTGTCCTGGAGGTAGAAGTGTGAAAATGGTTTCCTTTGGTATTTTTTGGTAGGGGGGTCATTACTTATTACACCGCATGTGGAGGGAATGTTGGGAGAGCTGCAAAGGGAAAATCAAATGAGAGTAGCAGTAAAGCGAAGAGTGAGATGTCTACATTTTCCCTGATTACTGCTTGATCCATGGATTTACAGTCTTGGGAAATTATGTTCTGAATTTGGTTTGGTTGCCCTCGCTCATGACAGACGATTCCCTGCAGATTCTCCCTTTGACCTTTGTTCCTGTAACTGAACATGATTGCTAAGTGTGCTGACACAGTGGGAGTGCCACCAATACCTGCTTTATGATCTTTAAACACTGCTGATGGCGAGAAGCGAAAGTTACACAAAGACAGAGTTTGCACTGTGTCTTGTTGAAGAGTTGTCGCCTGCTATGCAATGTAATAATCACACCCTATTTCTCCTCCTTTATGACCTGGGCTATACCGCGCATGATTGGTTTTCCACTCTGCCACGACGGCCTTATGAAACAGCCTGTACTGCTTTGGGTGAAACCCAAAACTAATCATTATGGGTGTCCAATAAGGGTAATTATCAGATTTAGCACTGGACCTGGGGATTACAGAGTGGCTAAATGACGGCTCTGGGGATTAAATTAAAAATTGAGGTTTCTCCTTAGGAGAATCAAACCGCCGGGAATGTCAAACCGGGCATGTCGGTGGTGGTACTGCCACTCACATCAAGGTTTGATGCTCAGGGCCCCTCCTGTTAGTGTATTTCGATCACATCAGTGTGGAATTACAACACGTTGACATCATCTGTTGCAAGTGCATGCAAATGAGAATGGAATGTTTTAATGTTTAGCTGGACCTAACATTACTCAAGCCATCAACCTATATTATTATGAAAAACCACGAGAAGATTAAACACAGTGGGATGATAGTTAGACAAGATTAAATCATTAGCTCAGCATTAAAGGTTCCCAGAGACCAAGGTGACTTATGTAAAATGCTTGTTTAGTAGGAGCAAACATCCGAAACCCAGATCTATTCAATTTACTATCTTCTATAACAAAGGAAAGCCATCTAATCTTCAAATGTTTGCTTAACTGTAAAGATAGAAGAGTCATTTTCTATCAATTGTCTGATTGTTTCAGTGTAAGTAACCATAGGAAAACAAACTATTTTAAACATCAGTGTGGCAACTTCATTCCCAAAGGAATAAATGTGAAAAGGAAAGTCAGAACCCACACGAAGACACGTGTGTCTAACCCTAACCCTATACATCCTAATAAGCTGTAATTGATAGCTCAGATAGAATTAGGACCGGGTGGTGTTGCTGTCGGTTATTATTAGTGGTAGACTCTCACTTTCAGCCTCGGTAACCCTCTTGCTCGGGACCAGATTTGGCGGATGATGCACACACAGGACGCAAGAGTGATGTTGCAGGTGTTACAAAACCGAGGCCTCCTTGAAATAGCAGCGCTGAATCATGGTCTCTGAGAGGCTCGTATTAAAGCCCACACACATTCTGTGAGTGTATGTCCTTTGCAAATGTGTGTTTCCATATAATGCAATAATGGGCCCAGTATCTGGGACAGAGGCTTCTGTTGACAATACCCAGGCCAGCTGGAGTTGCCGTCTGCGTGTTAGCAGGCTCGCAGGGAGATGGGTTAATGCCATAATGTTGATTGTGTGAGACTGTGCTTGTACATGCTGTAGTGTGTGTGTGTAATTTCTTTCAGCACAAATTCCAAAACTTCTTCTTTCAGCTTCTCGTTTGGACAAAATATCTGCTTGTCTTTGTTTTGATTGTGAACAGACCATTTTCGGGTTTTGGACTTTTGACCTTAAAGACAAAATGATTTGATCAGTTGAATATGTAATCAATCATTTAGATAGATTTTGGTCGCTGCCCCAGCATGTCAACTGCTTGTGTGCTGTCTACATACTGTATCTTCACATATTTTGACTGAAGTGATTAGTCAATCAACAGATTAGTCAATCAACAGAAAATTGATCAATGATAGTTAATCCTTATTCTGTTAAACAATGAGTAAGTTGTCTTAATCAAGCAAAAAGATGCCTGACATGTTGTCAGATTTCAAGAGTTACTTGTCGTAATTTA